TAAATGAATGCAGATTTACACATCACAAAAGAAGTATATAAAAAAATTTACAAATCTATTGAAAACCTGAATCAAGATTAAGAAATTGGAATAAAAAATAAATAAATATATATATATATATATAAAAAAAAGAAATTGTAATTGACTCTACAGTTAAGGAAATGCCTTTATCTAAAAAAAGAAACACTTTGCAGTTAAGAAAACGGTATGCTTACATTAAATTTAATGCAGTGTGCAACATTGAAGTGACTGAAAACCCCTGACCTTTAGCACATGAGCTAATCTAGACTCTGCAAATAACAGCATGGATGCAAATGCTTATTAAGCTGATAACAACCTGGAAAATAATGTCATGAATATGAATACAATAATTAGGGAGGGAGAAAGTATCCCCTCAAAGATGTATGCAAAAGAGCAAAAAATTGTCGAGGTGCTAAAAAAATTATCTGTGGTTTCTTTCTAGCCTACTAACTTACAAAAAAAACCTGTTGAGCCATGTTTTCAACAATTCCAAAATACCAGAAAGCTTATGGCTGCTACAAAACTAGAGCAAACAGTCTATATATGTCAGACTGCTTGTATTATCCGCCCAATGTTCATAGACCTGTTGTATATTTGTTGTTTTTTTTTAATCATCCAAAAATCTAAAGAAGTAAGAATTCCCGATTCTGATGGCACTGCTTACATTAGATGCCTTGAAGATTCTTTGACTTATCAGAAAGATAATATGTTTTAATTTGACCAAATGCCACATCAGGGGAGTTGTCTGAAAGAGTAACTGGAGAACCTTTAGATTTTTTTTAATCAATTACCAATTTTGTATTTGTAAGTTGCCGTAGTAGTGGCTGGCAAACTGGATTTTTTTTTTATTTAGGTCTTGCGTGGTTTGCTTTATTTTTGTTTGCAATTCCCTTTGTGTGTAGTAACATTTTTAGGGCATAAACTCTGTTCTAAATACTAAACCCCACCAAGTCAGAACAAGAAAATCCGTGACTATCTTGCTCCCCTTTTTTGTCTTGTATAGGTGATAATCCTGTGTTTTTGATGACAGATGGCCCTCGTTAGTGGCTCTGTGTCATTGGTTTAGTGGCCTGGTTTCTTTTAAAGGGATTATATAACTCTAACCCCTTCACCGGTTGCCTCTGCACTCACCTCTCCTGCCCCCATAATGCAGACTTTTACATAACATATGCAACACCCTCTGCATCTAATGTCATGATCCCTTAGTGGGTGCACAGTGAATATAAATGTATGCATATGCTAAGATGATATTCAATCTGAGTTACTATTCTTTTGCTTCACTTGTGAGGAAAGTGAAAAAGGGAAAACAACACTTCTCTATATTTGATGCATTTGAAATGTGATTTTTTTTTTCTTTTTTTTTGAGCATGTTCTCTGGAACTTGACTCGTAGTGAAAACTTCTCACCTTTTTGATTTCTCGTGTTTGACCTTAACTGACTGTTGACGTGTGATTTCAGTTTCTGCTCGGTTGGTGCTTTATTGTTGAGCTGTAAAAGATGAGTCTGGCATTTAGGAAAATTGGCAGATTCCTACTACTGTCTTTAAATATGCTTTAATGAAAACGGTAAAGGCAGGAAGCTCATGCTCAAGTTCACAAAGCATCTGCTTGGTTTAGGAAATGTTCTCTAAAATGAGTTCAGCTATTTGAGTCATTACTGCGCAGATATTATAGAAATATTGAAACAACTAGTCTATAGCTCTATTACAGTAGCAGCCATTCTAAATGGCACTTTCCAGTCAAACGCCAGCCGAATGGCAGCAAACTTCCCTGCAACTCCCAACAAATTACTCACTAATCACCTGCATTATTTTTATTTTAGATTTAAGATTAGTTCAGAAACGAGAAATGAGGAAACTAATGAAGAAAATTAAAGTATGTGAATCTAAGGTTTAGGAGTTGAGACTTTCCTCAATAACAGCTTAGACTTCATCCCATTTCCATTTTTATCTGCTACTTATTAACATATTAACCTTTGACCCTCTACAACACTGTATGAATTACAATTTTAGGTAGAAAAAAATCAGCTTTATTTCAACAAACTAACAATGTGGTTAACCGTTTTGTGATGACCTCTTTTGTTTGAACTAATTTGGGCATGCTTCATATAAAAAAAGACCTTACCTGTCTAAGTTGCAAATCTTTGCTACTTTCCTGGTTTCTGACCTAGCTGTAAAAGCATGGCAATGCGTACTGAGCAGACCTTTGCATGGCAACTTGTTACAGCTGATAGGTATGCTGATGTGATAATTATTCTGAAAAATTCTCTGTCTGTACTGCATGAATATTAACTCTGTATTTGTGTTACAATGCTTGAACTACTCACTGCATACAGAAGCTGGATCAGAACGTGCCTGCGAAACTGTTGGCAGACCAGAGAAGGGTAGGTACTCACACCAGCATTGCCGCTTAACTAACATCATTAATACTATTAAGATTTAGTTAGTTGTCTTATTAAACAAATGGAGGTAAAAAAATAATACATTTGTGTTTTTATTCTGACTTAAATAACATTAATGTGAACATGTAACTTTGCAGCGAGAATAGTTTCCTACTCTCTTCATTGCAAATAAAATATCATGGTTTTGGTATCAAGACCTAGCCTGACGTAGTCGTACTCAATTCTAGTCAGAATATGAGTCTGATACTGCTCCATAGAGCTGTGATTATTGGGCGTGTTTCGAATGAACCAAGAAAAAAATGCCTCTGCACTCAATTGGATAGACCTACAACCAATAAGAGCAATGGAGTGCGTGACGTATGTTAAGCGATGCATAGTTGTTGTCAGCAAAAATCAAAGCGTGCCGTTGCACGCCTAGAATAAGAACATGAGCCTTGATCGCGTTTCTCTGTTCCTCTTTTAAAATTCATTTGCTGTCGATATCTTCTAGAACAGACCTAATAGCAGAATCTACTCACCTCAATTCTCCGGCGGCAGCCATTGTTGTTGTCACCCAAGCACGCTTTGGTGACGTGGTTGATTACGTTACTGTTGATTATCTGTCCATCATCGTATAAAGCCCGCCCTGACAATTTGATTGGATCGTCAGAGGGTGGGCGATCATACTCGCGCTACTATGGAGCAGAGCCAGACCGAACTTCCCGACCTCAAACCTTGTGGGCGGGACTAAGTTCGGAATGGCACCCAGGCTAATCAAGACCATTTACTGACCCCAAATGTCTCGGTGAATAAGAATTGCTTTGCTGCCATTTTTTAAGCAGATGGACAAATAGGGGCCTCTTTTCCTCCTGGTCTGTTTTATGATGCATTTGTTTGAACTTAGGCACCTATATCCTCTTGTCGGTTTATTATAAGAATTGAGTTGTTGTTAATTGGTTTCAATAATTTCAGTTTTTAAATTTCAAAATTGTAAAAACAAACACATTTTGAAGGATAATAGCAGTAATAATGATAAAACCAGCTAAACTAATACTATTGTTTTAATTTCAATATTCAGTCACCTTGGGTAGAAATTTGTCGGCATGACGAATATCTTGACTTGAGGCTTTTGAGACATTTCTTTACATTTTTCATCCTGTTAACCTTACAACATCATAACATCAGTCCGTTGACCACCAAAGCCTGCTTTCCTTTATACAAGTGTGAATGCCTTGCTTGGCAAGACAGGATTGTTAATGCATTATGGCTGATCTCAACACCTTGCTGGGAAGGCTTGTAGATCATACATGATTTAAGATAAAACCAGAACTCAGAATAAATTCTGACAAGAAACGAAACAAGGTGAGGTGTATTGAAACAACAGAACTACCTTGAATTAACTATCATCGTCTCACAGCACCCACCATCCTTCTGCACCACATATTTTAAAAAGTCATAGCTGTACGATTTGTCTTTATATTGCTATCTATATTCCTGATTCAGTAAGTCCTAGAGCGAGCTAAGTGAAGCCTTTTGTTGCGGTTTTATGTTTTGCGAGGGAAGCTATGGCCAAAGAATGCTAATTCTAATATGATAAAAGGCATAAACTTAAGCCTTCATTAATATCACTAAAATGATGGGAAAGGTTCGTTATTGATTTGTTGTCCCTATTTTCATGTTACTAAAACCTGGCCTTTTAAACAAGGGTGTGCACACTTTTTTTTAAATCAACTTTTATGTCCATGTAAAGTAAAACTAAACGAAAAAAGTTTTAAAAGCACAGCAGAAAATATATATGCAGATTCATACTGCTGAATAGCCAATGAAAGATGAGTACTTTGAACCACCTACAAAAAGCAATCGTGACCCCCAGAGCATGACGCCGGCGGCAGGATTTATATAATTTCGCTGCCGTCTTTCAAGGACCACCCACAGCTCACGATAATTTGCACATAATTGCAAACAAACACACAATTCGCAGGCTTCTTTCATTTCCTTCTCTTTATCCCATGGGAGGTCTTTCATGTAACGATGGGCTAGTGTTGCCATGCCAACGGCAGAGTCGTGCCGCTGACTGTTTTACAGCAGATGAGTCACGGTGTAGGAGGGTTGCCCTCGAGTCTGCCTGAGCAAAAAAAAAAAAATCAACAAAAAAGCAGGACCTCCCATTGTCATTAAATAAAAACACTGTTTCTGTAACAGACAAGACTTGCGTCAGAGGCGCATGATATAAACTTGATGCTGAACATGGCAGGTTTTTGGAAAGATTAGTATATTTGCAATCATTTCTATTGAAAACTAATAATGTAGAGTCAGGTTATGACAAGGCTCTTTCCAGCTTAAATTGAAAGGAGCAGGTGTTGTTAATTCTGCTGTTTTATTAAAGAAACCATTAACTAAATCTGGTAGCACTTGTTAGAAACACCAAGCATTACCTTAACCTGTGTTCCTCGGAGATCACAGGCTGCAAACCTGTTGCTGGAGTTTCTAAGATTGCTTCTTAATAGTTTTTTTTTTTGTGGACTGTTATATAATCTCCCATCTCTCGCTTTCACTGACGTCACATCATTACATCCTGCCCTCTCTTTTCCACTAATCAGGGCGAGGCGCTCAGACGGATTCTGGTGAGCCGTTACTATGGAAACTTCCACAGGAGCGGTGGGCGGAGGGACAGCCTGACGTCATTTGGCAATGGCCCCCTCAGTCCGGTAGGACCGGGCAGAAGCCAATCAGGTGACCTTTATGTGTATTTTCAGGCCTAAACACAAATGTTCTTCTTATTTTTTTTGTGTGCTTTTTTTCTCATTTTGCAGCAAAAAGGCAGTGAGAACAACTGCTTCAACAATTCTATTTGGCTTAAAGCGTATATCAAGCATTGACCAAAGCCTTTTGAAACCCTTGGAGGGCATTTTCCTGCCAGAAATGATGTTAGATATTAGGTGGCAAAGCCTATGTGAAGCTTTTGCTTTGCATTAAGTGAATGTGGCAGTATCTGTCTGGCCCTGTTCTGCCCTTTGAGCACCCAGACCACAAGAGTCTTATCAATACATGATAAAGAGGTCAATGTTTTACTATCTGGAGTCAAAATACTTAGGCAATGTACCATGACTATTTGGGCCATTGGCTGATCTCTAACATTTATATTGTATTTTCGTCATATCATTGTTATGTTTTTTTTTTTTACTACTTTAGCATCATCAGATCAGAACAATGTGTGTCTAGCCTATAATTCATTCACATTCTTATTTTTTTTACTTTTGTCAGCCATTTGTAATAAGTCTGAATACACAGTTTCCTTGATCGTATTCTCTTCCTTCCTATTTTCTTCCTCATGCTCACCCAACAGACCACAGAAAGCATGCCCTTTTCACTCATGATGAACTTCTTTTTGTTGCTAAGAGACGGGCTGGTGCTTCCTGTGGAAACAGTGTATGCACCTGTTGTAGAAACAAGAGCCAGGAAAGGAATTTGATATGCAGCCTGAAGTTGGGGATCCAGAGGGGGCAGAAATATGTGGGAAAACCTTGATGCAATGACACATCAGTAGAATGCAGCTGTTTTGGGCTTGTTACATTTCATTAAAAAGTTCTTTGCTGTTCCTAAATAAAGTAATGGATTTCATGTCTATTTAGAGCTAAGATAAAAAAAAAAAGACAGTGTATTTCTTTCTGGCCACAGTTTGTTTTCTGTCATTGTCTTGTTTAAAGGCCCAATGATAAACCTGTTGTAGTTTTTTGATAAAATGTTAAATGGCCTGTAATTATACATTGCTTTTTCACGTCAGAGGACTTGACCAAAGCGCTTTACAGTAAAATCAGTCATTAATTCATACACTGATGGTGGCAAACTACATTTTAGCCACAGCTACAATGACAGAAGCGAAGCTGCCGTACATTGGCAACCACTGGGCCCTCTGACCACTATCAGTGGGCAATGCAGGTGAAGTGTCTTGCCAAAGGACACAATGAGACTCAAAGCCAGAGCTTGAACCGATAACCTTCCGATATCAGGGCACAGACCCCATTGTTGCCTCTAAAGTGCACCAAAGTATTACAATATTTGGAAGAACTCATCATGCATCACTAACAAGTATCCCAGGAAACCTGTAGGAAAGAAAAGAACTCTGCAGCCAATGTCCTCCAACAAACATTAAAGTGGGAACAAAGTATTTTTTGACATATTCCTTTTGTTTCTTTTGCACTAGTCCCATCTAGAGTAGTTGTTAGCAAAAAGATGCATCTTCATTCACATCTGACAAAAACACTTTTCTTTTTAAAATCCCATTAGCTTTTTGCAACCTCCTTTGTTTGCATTTGTGATTGTAGGACATCAAAGGTGTTTTGCTAAATATTAATACAGAATATTTGAGATTTGAAGAATTACTGAGATACATTAGCCTGTGTTCCACCAGATATAAGTGTACCCAACCTTAACAGTAATGAATTGATTTGTAGTGAACATTTTTTATAGAGTCTGATTAATAATAATAAAAAAAAAGAGTAGTATAAACATGAATAAATATATAAAAAAAACAAGGTTCAGTCACATTTATATTAGAGAGGTTGTTTTTGGGAGCAATTAAGTCTAGAAAAGGAGATTTGGTTAAACTTAAAATGAATAAGTAAGCTATTTTGTTATATTTAGAGTGTAAGCATATACTTCAATAATAATAGAGATTTTAAAGCTGTTTTTTTTTATCAAATAGGGATACGTGGTGGAATAAACAATAAACAAATTACTAAAAACTATTAATGTTGGAAAAACTTTAAATAAGTCACAAATCGAGATTCTGCATCAAACTGATAACATCATTCTTGTACTACATGGTGAATCTTCAAAATAGAACTCAACTCAGTGTTTTACTGCATTTTGCACCATCTCTATTTATTTATTCTTGCACTTCTCTGAACTTTCCACATCAATGCTTTTTTGTACCATGTCTCTCCCACACTGTTTAGATTTTGATCACTGCTGCACTTTAAGAACGGAAATGTTCTTTTTTTACTGCTAAGCTGCTCATTCACTGTCGGAAAGCTTTATGAAATACATTTTGATTTGTATACACACTTTATACAAAATGACAACAAAGTTTGTCTACGTCTAATAAAATGTGCATCCCCGGTTTGACTTGTAAACCTGCTCTGGTCTTGCAGCTTTAGGGGGCTCAGGCGGCCTCAGTCGGGCGGAGATGACCCTGGCTGAAGTTCAGTGTCATTTGGACAAAGAAGGAGCTTCTGATCTTGTTATTGATCTAATTATGAACACTACTAGTGACAGAGTCTTCCAAGAAAGCATCCACTTGGCCATTGCATTGCTGGAAGGAGGAAACACAACCATCCAGGTCAGTCGCAAAAATCTGGACTCTGTCAGCTATTTTTTCCATGTGTATTAAAACATGCGTGAATCTTTAAGGTTAGTCAGTTGCAAATAGTTTTCACTTTGTTTTCTGTTTTGTTTATCTTTTCAAATTAAGAGAATGGAATACATGGGCATCAGTATGTCATTGCAGTCACACATATACATATCCACCATATCCATTTCTGTATCTAATTTTATAGTCTAAAAATCAGGGCCTCTGTTAATGATTTTTCTGGTCTGTAAATAATAAGAATAATCATGCTCCGAAATTAACTTAGATATTTCCCCCCTCATTGATTTAACCAAGACCCTACAGACTTTCTCTCTGCAGGTCTTTGTTGTCTTTCTTTTTAAAATCGTTTTATCTCTCAGTCTGTCCGTATTTGTCGGTCAGTCTGTGTGCTGTTGTGTAAGCGGGGGCCGTGCATAATCAGATTACAGCAAGGAAGCCACTAAGGCAGAGATAATGCATCGGCTTCCCACGGCTGCTGCAGAGCAGCGTCACGTGATCTGTCTGTGTTAGATAAGGCACTGTGAATGAACAATGAGGAATGTCTCAGCCTTCAAAACATTCCTGCCTCGCTCCCTTTACATTCTCCTGCCGCCCAAACTGGGTCACGCTGAGCCTCTGAAACTGGGGCAGTGGGGAGCGATGGCTGAGGAAACACAGAGGTGGGATTGAGGAAAAACTGGAGCCGTCCTAAGGCTCTTCGATCTGTATTTGTTCTTGTTGAGATGCCCAATTGCTGGAAAAAGTTCCTGCAGGGAAAGTAAGATATTCCACTGGAAACATTTTCCCGTCATATAATTCTGGATATTTTCCTTAAAATGGCCAACAGTGTGAATAGAAGCCAAGCCAGTTATAGGTTATAGTTTCTCTTCACTGTCTTTATTCACTGTTACTTCTAGAACACCTGTTGGGTGTCGCATATCTCATTCTCATGTAACATCGTTAACTATTTACTCTTGCCCGACATAGTGCACCAAAATAGCCTGACTATGTATAACACTAGCATTAATGCTTCAAAAGTTTGCATACTTCATACTGCAATGTAAAGCAAATGCATAAATACCCTAAAAGCATACTGTAAGCCAAGTACAAAAGAAGTGAGCAACATAGAAATTGGAATCATTGTATTTGAAAAATCTGCCCTTAAAATTTTTTATTAACTTTAGAATCAAAGATTACCCTGTGAGAAAATTCAAGATTATTGTTTTTTGTTTTTTATATTGAGTAAAAGTTTTTAAGCTCTTACCTTTTACAAGGTTAGAGCTGCAGAACAAAACAAAGAGAAAAGATAAGCAATTCAGGTAACAAAAAAAAAAACGCCACCTGAAAATGACTGTTCATTAAATTAATCTGGAGAAGATTAACAACAGGATTTGGAACAAAAAAAGGTGTTTAGGAAATTCCTATCATAAACGTGGGATTAAACTGCATTCAAGCTTTGAGAGTTTGGAGAATCTGACTTAAACTTTGTCAGGAAAAGTGAAGAACCTTGATGTTAAACTTTGTTGCAGTAAAAACAGAAACAGATCTTCATTGAACATTGAGGCAGTCGCTGTGGAAGAATCTTTCAATCTTCTTTTATTATGCCATGAAAATTGAAGCCAAAAGTTTTAGTCTCTTCAACAACCATAGACATCAATACTTTGATCTTTGTTAAAAAGTACTCCATAAAGTAGAGTCAGGAAAAGTATTTCAATTTTACAAAATTTAGAAAAAAGAAACAAAAAATTTGAAAAGTGTAGTGTGCATTTAGGATATTCCCATGTTGATGGCAAGGTGCATTAAGCTATATTCAAGGCAATGACACATCAGTAGAATGCAGCTGTTTTGGGCTTGTTACATTTCATTAAAAAGTTCTTTGCTGTTCCTAAATAAAGTAATGGATTTCATGTCTATTTAGAGCTAAGATAAAAAAAAAAAAAGACAATGTATTTCTTTCTGGCCACAGTTTGTTTTCTGTCATTTTCTTGTTTAAAGGCCCAATGATAAACCTGTTGTAGTTTTTTGATAAAGCGTGATGGAAAATGGATGGAAAACAAACTTCTTTGCAGAGTCAAATGGCATCTTTATGTAAAGTGCAAAGTGAGTGGAGGGAAAAAGGAGAAAGACAATTTTCAATGTTTTGCGGTTGTTTTTTAAAATATTTTATATTTAAATTATATTTCTTTTTTTCTTTTGTTTACAGCTATTTCAGATACATATATAAATTACAATAATAATATTATTGTTGATATACATGGCTTAGAAATACATCTTTTCAAGGCCAATCTGCTCATTTGAATGTATTAGAACAAAACCTATTTGAATGTCTTATGTGGTTTTTGTAGATTACATGCAACATGCCTACTTACTGCACATGCAATTGTTTATTTTATTTTCCCTCAAAATGTAGCTTTCCTAATTTGGATTCTTTGGTGGTCAGGCTTTCAGCACGGTGAACTTACCCATGACATGACATCTCAATAATTTGGTGCTGGAATTTTATTTATGTATGTATGTTTATTGTCCAAAAGTAACCAAGTCAAGCATTTTAAGCACTTAATAAATAAGAATTTTGCAGCATATTTGATAAAAAAAAAAAAAACGCTTTTAAGGATATTAAGATACTAATTGTATTCTAGGGTCCCTTCACTATATGTTGTGCTTGTCCTTCTTCTCCTGTCTTCTATTTTCCACCTCTGTCTCCAGTTCGCTGCAAAGAGCTATGACAAATCACACGCAAGTGTAATTTTGTTGTGACATGGTGACTTGTGACATTTCACTCATTGGCCATCTGTCATCTAACTATGCGGCATGTTGCTCTCTTTTCCCGGCAGAGCTGCTTTGAAGAGGGGAAAAATGAAGCCTGGTCATGTTAAAATTAAAAATCCCGTCAGTCTGGAATAGCTTGTGGGAGGAAAACAATAGAAGAATTAAAGAAAGGAGGAAAAAGTCTTGAGGAGGGGTAAAGGAGAGCTAGCCAGAAGCTCCATTTGGTCTACATGTGGCACTAGCTGACGTGAGAGGAAAAGAGGAGCGAAAGTATAAATAGCTGTTACATAACATCCTTTTGTTGATGCCAAGTGGCGGAACGGAAGGAGAGAAGGGAAAGCGCTATGACCTTGTTTTTCAGCACTGTCCGCCCCCTCCTGGCCCTGCTCCTCTCCGTCTCATAGTTACAGACAGGCTCTGTGTTTACCCATCACTACCCCTGAGATGCACGCCACCCTTCTGCATCCACCTCATCTCCCTCCACTTTCGTCCTCACCTTTTTATGTGTTTTCGGCGCTACCAAAACATGCAGAGGGGTGTGTTGAAACGGTGGCACAGATTTTGTTTTTTGGATGAGCTTCTCAGGGCCAACGTAGAAACTACAGAGGCAGTGAGGTGGTTAGATGTGAAAGTTTCACGTTTTCACTTCTGATTCATTGTCAAAACATTTCTGAAGAAATCAAAAAATGAAAGTGAGGTGTGTGTTTTTTTTTATTTATTTTTTGTTTGTTTTTTCGTTTGTCTTTGCTGTGGCTTCGTCTTTGTTTCGGTGACGCACTGGGCTGACTAAAGTGCAGTTCTTGAAAACAGCCTGGGTTTTGAAAAAGCAAAGAATGTGAGACTGCTGTGCTGCAGGTGAATATGAAAATATTTCAACTATTTCATATGACGTGCCAATTTAAAATGAGGAAAAGAATCATGACACATAATATATCTGATAAAGATGATATAACCCTCCTGGCGACTTTCTGCACACTCAAACAGATTTAGACACCTGTAAACTGGCATTTCACCAGAGGAGCCTATCATAGTGTGAAAAGCAAGTTTGATTACGTAAGATACTGCTGAGTTTGGAGAGCTTGGAGAGAAAACTGCGCTTTAGGGCGTTTTTTTTAAATTGTAGGTGTGTCCTTTTCAAAATTGGCATGTTCTAATTTCCAGAGAAAGCTGACCCATTTTTTTTTTATTTTTTTTTTGTGAGTGCAAAAGTCAGTGGGCGTACTGGTGCATGCCGTCTCCTGCCAGTTTGTGCTTTAACTGTACAAGGTTTTTATGTGTCTGTGCCAGTTATGTAATGGTTAAGGATGATTTCTCCTCTGAGTTCCCTATAGTCATATTGACTGTATGTTATGCTGGCCCGTGAGCTTTATAGACATAACTAACCCTCACCGCCCTCCCCTTCCTGCCTTTCCCTCCACAGGCATGCTTGGACTTGTAAACTCTGGCTGGACTGTCAGCGCTGCAGCTAATCCCATCTCGATGTTTCTACCTATCATCGGGTTGTTTATTACTCGATGGCCTTGTCTTGACTGGCGGTTTTGCTCTCTCTCCCCACAGTGCCTATTTCCTTGTCCCTGAAATTTGTCCGAATGCGTACGTGCAGCAGGCCTGCAGCCTAGTGCTGGAGGGCAGGGCTGTGAGTCTCCTTTGAAGTGTGGGTTAGGATTAATAGCATTGTTTCTCTCAAGGTACTTTGGTCCAATAGGTTATTAGACCAGCTTGTTTGGTTGCCCCATAGTTCTGGTGCCCCAATTTAATTTCAATTAAATAAGAGGCAAAGTATTTCTAAAACATGCAGAAAGAAAACAGCTGTTAGGAGTTTTCAATGTTGTTCAGCCTTACATTTAACCTGGAAAGGCAGATCTTTATGTAAGAAAATTTTAGACGTGGCCTAAATACTTCCTGATAACATCCCTATCCCTCGCTCTCTTTTCCCCCTTGCTCAGTCGTCTCTTCTTCACATTTTTTGTCAGTTTTTCTTCCTCGTTTCTGTCAACTCCCCCACACACCATCTCTGCCCCTCGATGTGGTTAAGTAGGCCAGGCTTGTCCCTCCCTCCTGACCTATGTAATATTTTTCACCCTGTATGTGTGGCAAGGCTGCTTTAGCTGTTAAAAAGCCTTCCCTAAAAATAACGAACTCATCACTTATCCCGTGCAGTCGTACACCCATCTGGAATAACCCTGACATTCTACAAAACAATAATGTGATAAACTTTCCGT